AAAAACAAGTAAATACGTACATAAAAACTATAAAAAAAATAAAAAAAAATAGATAATTAAAAAATTAAATAATGACATACATAAAAAAATTAATAAATACTAATAAATACATACATAAAAATAACAAATAAATACATACAGGCATACAAAATATTTCAAATAATGCAACTTTATTTAATTCTTACATATATGTTCTTACAAATGCCCAACAACACATTTGAAATCTTGATCACTGAAGTGTCTGTGTTGATATTCGCACACTTTCTGGCATGAGGCAGGCCCGTGATGCAGTCGGCATTCCAGATTATTTATCGTCAGCGGAACTGACTGCTGATAAGTCAGGCTGGCTAATGTTAATTATATTTACTGCTTAATTTAATGAAGCATTGCTTTGTTTTACGTACTGGTTGTTCTGCATCTCGTGAGCTTGCACAGAAATGTACAACAGAAACATATTTTGTGGCTGAAGAAGAACAGAGGTGCTCCACAGATGGAGGAACATGCAGAACATTGTGTTAGGGATCTGGACTCTTCACATTTTATCTTCTGACGCGATGAAGTACCATCTGCGCACTTACTGAACAGCTATTGATTAAACGTCCAGCCGCCAACTACCTCCCAAGAACACAAAATATAGACCTCCTAAGGCAGCTGAAATGTTTTTTTGTCTTCTTGATAATTATTCACACATCGGCCACTTGAGTGTCTTTAATCCCATCTCCAGGCACAAAAAAAATAAAACCCTACTCTTGTAGTGGTGCTATCCCTGCACTGCAAGGGTAACTGCTAATTGTTGTCTAGGGTGTTGTGTAAATCGCTTTTACTTGATCCCTTCTCCCACTGGCTCCAAGACTGGCACCTGCAGCCTTGTCCCCCCTGCACTCTGGCCGCACGAGGCCCACCGACATCATCATGTCTAATGCAGGGTCCATAGCTCTGCATTATATGTGAGGAGGCCAAGGCACAGTCCACGAGCCAGGAGTAGAAGGGGGGGTGAGGTGAGTGTTGATCACCAGGGGGGGAGCGGGGATCAGGTAAATTAAAGTGCTTTACTCCAGTGCCCTAGGCATAGGGAGCAGTTATCCTTTTTTTTTTTATTATTATACTATACCTAGGGATGGGCTTTAAAACTAAAAAGGAAAAATTTCCTGGTCCTGGGCCA